GTCTAGCAAAAGGGGAATTAATATCCATAAAGAATAATGTAATGAGCTTGAGATCTGATCCCAACATACAGTTCAGATAGGGATACCGGGGCGGAGCTGTGGCTCTGTGGCTGGGAGGGGTTTGCTGGTTTGAATCCCGCGGCCGGCAGAGGAATCCTACTCCATTGGGGCCCCCCCTGAGTGAGGCCCTGAACCCCAGCTGCTCCATGGGCGCCGTAGAAATGGCTGACCCTGTGCTCTGACCCCCCAGCTTCTCTCTCTCCCCGTCTGTGTGTCTCACGGAGAGCCAGCTGGGGTCTGCGACAAGACCGATTCCTCATGCAAGACATTGTATAGGGCCGATAAAGTGATCTGATCTACATGGGTAAGTAACTCACAAAAAACTACTAGTAATTGGTAAATAGCATCGCCAGCTCCCTTCGAACCGCCGTCTCATCGAAAACCAATAATAGTGGTAAAAACTCAACTTTCCCTTTATTTCAGGGCGAAAGGATTTATAAACTAAGTTCACGTGCAACAGCACAACCGTCGACAGGAAGGGGAGTTTTGCATGTCCAATTTTGCTCTTTTTCCCCCATTTCTGGAGCAAAATAATCCTTCAAGCAGCTACGTGTCTGGCTTCCGGTGCCTGGAAAACGGACATAAGCGTGGGGACGTTTTCCGGGAGTGCCGGGCCACATGCGGACAGCGGATGTGAAAATGTAGTCCCGAGGGGCGTTTCCCCAGTTGGCAGGAACTACAACTCCCATAGTGCACTGCCCCCCCACACTGTCCTGATTGAGGGTGTAGTTCCACTGCAAGTGCTGAGCTGCCATTGCAAGAGCTGCAGAGGCACGTCGCTCAGCCATTGGAGAGGGTTCAGGCCAGGCACGAGCTACACTCCACGTTTTGCAGCTGCATTCTGAAAAAAGCTCTCGGATACCGGAATTTATTCACCTCCCACAGTGACGATCACAGTGCTGATAGTGTTTCCTTGAAGGTCCCTCACTGTGTAGTTGCCCTGATCAGCTGGAGTGAGGGGGCGCAGCGTCAGAGAGCCGTCCTGCACCGACACTCTGTCTCTGTACTGGGGGACACAGCGGGCTGTGCTGTTCTGGACAGAACACACTGAGGTCCAGTTCCCACCTCCTGCAGGGTCAAACAGCACCTCCACCGGCTCTCCAGTGAACAGGGGGACAGAGAGAGAGGCTCCAGGCTGCAGGGTGACAGTGTCTCTGTGAGCTGAAAGACAATCAGGATAGATGATGATAGAAGAACACACTCTGCCAAGAATATAGAGCCCTCTAGTGACCCTACTGCTCACCTCCCACAGTGACGATCACAGTGCTGATAGTGTTTCCTTGAAGGTCCCTCACTGTGTAGTTGCCCTGATCAGCTGGAGTGAGGGAACGCAGTGTCAGAGAGCTGTTCTGCACCGACACTCGCTGCTCGTACCCGGGTCCAGGGAGCCCTGCCCTGCTCAGTAAGACCCTGCGAGACTGGGCAGATCCTCCAGGATCAAACAGCACCTCCACTGGACCAGCAGTGTGGAGGGGGAGAGACAGAGAGGCACCAGACTGCAGGCTGTGGACTTCTGAGCGAGCTGAAAAGGGACAGGTAGAAACCTGTTGAATATGTAGTTTGACAACAACACCTCGAGTTTGGACTGCGATCAGCTTCATTTTGC